CCGCGGCAGGGAGCGCTGGGGGCGTCGGGCGGGAGGTGGGGCGTCTGCGCCGCGGGGCTCTGGGCTTCAGGACTGAGAAACAAAAGGCAGGAATCCCGCCTCTTCCTGCTGCTTCCCGCGCTCCGGGGCCGCTCCCGCCGGCCGTGCCCCTCTGCCCGCATCGGACCCACAGTTTCTAGGGGTAAATGGAGTTGGAAAAGGAGCCTTCCTCCGGCGCGGGACGGTCCCGCCGCCCGCCACGTCCCCTTCCCGCCGGGTGCGCGTCCTTCTTGCAGGAGGGACCGGTCCCTGGTCGGGGAGGCTCCAGCGGCAGAAATCGGCCCGATAGGGCTTCCCGCCACCCTCCTCCCTGCCTTACCCTCATAAGTAAACGCCCCGTGGTTAACTGCCCCGGTGGACAACTGCTCTCTGGTTTGCTTCCCAGCTTCTGGGAATCCGCAGCCTTCCTGTTCTTAAAGAGCAGAACGTCTCCTCTAGACTAAATACATGACGTTAGGAAAACGCCTCATCCCCCAAGTGCGTTGCTTTTCCCACCACGAGGACACAGCTACACGGACTGCCGTGGGAAGTAACCTAAACCCCGCCAGGAAGGGGGTGCTCCAAGGGACCTCGGTTTAGGCGTGTTGGTTTCAGGGAAGTCCCAGGGATGCCAGGGACAACCGAGGGAACCAATTCCATGAGCTACAGGATGAATTTGTTGTTTTAAAAATGAAAAGAACAAGAAAAATGCCAGTCTCTCTGGTTCCCATTCCAGGCGTACTGATGACCTCAGTGTCGGGTGCGATGATCCCTGAGAGCTGATATTTGGGACAGTGGGCGGCTCAAAAAAGGCGGTGAGTCAAAACATCCCTCAGGCCACAAATGCAGTAGCCTACTCCTGCTCAGAGCTTGTCAACCTCCACACTGTTGACGTTTGGGGGTAATTCTTTGTTGTGGGGGCTGCTTCATGCTTTTGTGCCTCCACCCACTAGCTGCCAATAGCACCCTTTCCTTCCCATTGTAGCTCATAGGAGATGTGCCAAATGCCCCCTTGGGAGGGGGCAGAAGGCCTTGGTTTCAGAACCACTGCCCCGCTATGTATCTGCATGACAAAGTGCAGAGCAGGTTTAGAATAATATTGTTTTATTTCATGTGCTGGGGCCAATCCAGGAAAAATTCATTATCATAGCAGCCTTATTCTCTGTCTACCGAGCACTGTGCAAAAACACAGTGGTGATTGACATCTCCTGATATTGTGGCAGGAGTCTGGAAGTATTCCTGCCTGCTGTGAGCTCTTCTAAATATGGGCAATCCGAATTTTGATGATATCAGCTCGTGCAAAAGTGACCTGACTTCTGGGTGCTGACATGAAAGGCTTGTCCTTTAGAATCCACATTAGCTTTGCTGCTTACAAGTACATAGGTTTATGTAGTATTTCTACCGAATGAAACTGTATCGGTGAATTTCACTGCCTACCCTTGGGTTATTTTTTGATGCCTCCAAGACCTGACCCATAGCTTTCTGACAGGCTCTTGTTGTCCCTGAATTCCATCACCACATCCTGTCATTTGAAGTTGGGCTTGCTTCTAACCTGAAAGTATTTCTGCTGTCTGTCCACATATATATATTTGTCTTAGGATATTTTATAGTAAGTGTGGAGATAATGTACAACATTTGGTTTTAAATGTCAACATTTGTGTTTAAGTATCAACATGTTTAAAATATTTTATTTCCCTTTAAACATTTTTTAAACTGTCGACTCTAAGAAATTCTTTCTGTTTATTTAGACAGTGGTGCAAAAGAAAAAGTGTGGGCTTTGTAATTAAACAGACATGGTTTCAGCATACAACTCTGCCACCTACTAACTCTGTGAGCTTGGCCTAATACTTGACTTTTTTAAAAAAGTTGATTTTAGAGAGAGAGGAAGGGAGAGGGGGAGAGAGAGAAAAAAAAATCAATGTGAGAGAGAAACATCAATCTGTTGCCTCCCCCTACTGGGGATTGAACCGTGATCCTGGGTATGTGTGCTGACTGGTAATCGAACCCACAACCCTTTGGTGTGCGGGACCATGCTCCAACCAACTGAACCATACCGGCCAGGCAAATACTTGACTTCTTTGCACATGTTTCTTTATCTGTAAAATGATTATACAACACATACTAGGAGAGTTAAATCAGATGATGTCTGTAAAATGCAAAGCATTTACCGGCACATGGTAAATACTCAATATGTGGTTGTTGTTATGTAAGGATATCTTGATGTCCTTTTCTGCCTTGAGAAAGAAACAGAAAGTGTTTTGCTGAGCATTCATCTTATGTGGCTGCTGAGATTTTGGTAGTAAGAAGGTAGTAAGCGTTTTCCAAAAACAATTAAGAGCCTTTCATAGAAAGTAAATTGTATGCCTGGGGAAGAGCTAGTGGGAGAAATTTGCCCTCATGGACAAGAATAAGCCCTTAGTAATTCCATGTAGTCCTAGTCTGTTGACTCTTTCAACCTTACAAAAGGCAAAATTGAAGGTCAGATGTGTCCAGCAGGATGTTTCTTTTTTCCAAGAAATGCCATTATACTTGTAACATCTCCTTCAGACCTAAGGCAAGGTGAACCAAGGATGCCTTTCTTCATGACTTTGTGCTCCAAGTTCAGATTCTTAAAATATTTTTACTTCATGCTACTTTTCCTTAACAAAACCCTGAACCAGATGAGTGTGAATATAAACAAAGGGCCTCTTTATTTTATTTTAGGGCAAGATTCCTTCCTAGAAGCCAGCTAGGCTATGGAGGAGAGGAATTTTTTAGTACATGTTAAATAAAGGAAAAATAAACTCTCACTTAGCTAATCTACACAATTTATAATAAAAAACACACAAGCAGCAATTCCATCTTATTTCTTTGCCAAGATTTAGCAGCAGCGGTGGGAATTAAAAATTACTCATATTCAACTCTAATACTCTGTGATGCATTTTCTTACTTAAAATTTGAAAGGTAGATTAGAGTAGACATTTGTCATAGTTGCTTTTAAAAAAACTTGCTTTAAACTCCCACTTTCTTATAAATTTCATTATTCATAACATTTTTTCCTCCAATGATTACTATTTCCTTTAGTGCTGTCTTCTGCTATAGCCTTATTTATGTTTTCTTCTGCTACAGCTTTCTAGTTTTTCTAGCTCCACTTATGTTTCCTTCTTGCTGCAGAGTTTTTCTACCTTTACTGGTATGAAAACAACTGTAACCTCCAAGACAGTCTACTACATCTATCTTACCTCAACCCCTTAAATGACCTTATTCACTTTTCTCCCTTCTTCATTCACATCCTCAACCACCAGCCAACATTTCCTCAGCCTCCCATATTGCCTCTAAGTCTAAGCACACATATTCTCTCCCTTGTTTACATATGCTGTAGCTGGGCTCAGAGGAACCGGTAGTTCTTCAACTCCTTACCAAGAATATCTACTCTGTGCTTTTGGATCTATTTCTTCAGCATTCTTAATTATATTCCTTACTTTTCAATTCCTCTGTTTCTACTGCTTCCTTCCTTTCAGATTACAAACATGCTGTCTTCCCAATATTAAAAAACAAACAAACAAAAACTGACAAAAACTTTGTTGACTTTTGTAATAGATATTCATAAGTTGCCTCTTCAGCATCCATTCCTCTTTTCCCAGAGGCCCAGGTTTTTGTTTGGGGTCCCTGTGGGGTCGGGGAAGTGCCCCCACAGCCCTGTTTCAAGAATAGAGCACTGGAACCAACCAAGTCTCCCAACCCCTGGTTTGGATTAGGGCCATGTCATGTGACCTGAGCACATCCAATCAGTGTGAATCTCTGAACTCTGTTGGGTGCAAAGACAGAGCGACAGAGTGACACTCACCTGTTCTGGAAGGTGCTGTGTGCATATATGAGGCCTGGGGTTGCTATAGCCATTTTTGCTGGTAGGAAGCCAGCCTGCGGATGATGAGACAGAGAAATGGATCCAGAGCTCTGAATAGACTCCTCAGGAAGTTTATCTACCTACAGGATCTTTTCATTTCAAAGCAAATGAGTACCCATTGTTGTTTTGAGATGGATTTTTCTGTTTCCTGTAGTTAAGATTCCTAACTGACTATGATGGTTTAAAACTATGTCCACAAATTCTTTGATTCCCCTCCCTTCATCAAATGGACTTTAACCCCTTCCCCGGCAGAAACGTGTATACTCGTTTTCACAAAATGTTCTTTTTCAGTCGTCGACGAGTATACTAAGAAAATATGGTAAAAAAATATGGTTTATAGGAAGACGAGTTACAAACTGTTCTCATAACCAGCATCAAAAATACTATATAGAACCAAAATAAAAAAATTAGTCTGAAAAAGAAACGTTTTTAACAAAAAAATTGTTGGGGAAGGGGTTAATTCTTCTTCCCTGAGTATGTGCTGGATTTAGTGACTCACTTCTAGAAAATAAAGTGTATGATTCTAAGACTCAGTAAAAAAAAAAACCATTATGATTGCCTCCTCATTCTTCTTCCCACCCACTGTCCCCCCTCCGTGTGTGTGTGTGTGTGTGTGTGTGTGTGTGTGTGTGTCCCTCTCTTTCTCTTGGATCACTTGCTCTGGGGAGGCCAGCTGCCATGTCAGAAGGACACTCAAGTAGCCTGTGGAGGGCCACATGGTGAGAAACAGGTCTCTAGCCTCAGGAGAATTGAAGCCTTCGGCCAACAAAAACAAGAGTGAGCTGGGAAAGAGATTCTATAGCCTTGAAATGATTCCAGTTCTGGCTGACTATTGAGCCTCTCATGGCTCAATAGTCATTTGAAAGCTTCTAGTTACCAAACCAATTGCCATTTTCAGTCCTTACCCTACTTGACCTTTTGGTTATGGAGCAATGTTAAATAAATATACGATTGTGTGTACATGCACAGGATGGAATTTTCTTACACTTCTGAAGTTTCACACCAGTGTTAACTTCTGTCTTAAGATACTGCTCTAATGAGTAATGGGAATAAATTCTTAAAGCCATAACCACTAGAAAACTTAGTTCTTCCCCGTAAAAACTAATATGAAAAACAGAGCATAGTATAGGATATATTACATAATTTTTATTATCTCACTTGTAATAATAAACACCAGACACTTCCAAGAAAATAAAATATACATATCCTAATTTTTACATAGAATTTTTTTTCTGGCTACAGATTATAGAAAAATAAATGTATACTTCTCCATTAAATTTCAAGAAAAATTTTAGAGTTTGCAATAGGGCTTATCAAACAATTTTGATCATTTCCCTATTTAGAAAAAGACTAAGTAGGAAATTAGTCTAATTGGTGGTTTAAAAAGTAGCATTTAGGTCGAACAAAGCTCCAGAGAAAACCTCATAAGAATTTCCACTTAAAACATCATGTATATAATGCTTCTCTGGGAAATGATGTAAGGAAGGTTAACAGGATTTTGGAAACAATGGACAATGATATAATTGATAAGCACTTAATTATTTATGGGCATATGCCTGCCAGGATTTTTGTGTAATCCTCACATATGGAATTAAATCCATTTGTAAAATGAACTTTTTCTTGTAAAAGAAAATAAAAACTGTCATTTTCTGCAGCTTTCACCTCATAAGAAAAGTGTTGAGCTATAGAAAAAAGGTTAATATTTTAAGAAAAAATAATAGCTCTTATAAATTCTATATTTATATGTTTATAAGGACAGCTTACTTAGGTTTTACTTTAAACACTATTGACGTAACACTGTTCCAAAAAGACTGTGGGAATACCTAATCCCCATTCCTAATTCTTAAATACTGTCATGTGTTAAAAGATTCAAGCTTTTGATTTATTCATTCCTATGTTCAATAGGAGACTTGGAGTGCCACAGCCAAACCAAACTCCACTGACCTGTTAATGGCTATGTATGAGCTTAAGCATATATATTTGCATGGACTTGCAAAACCATCTGAGTCAGTGGTTCTCAACCTTCCTAATGCTGCAACCCTTTAATACAGTTCCTCATGTTGTGGTGACCCCCACCCATAAAATTATTTTAGTTGCTACTTCATAACTGTAATTTTGCTACTGTTATGAATCGTAATGTAAGTATCTGATATGCTATATGTGTTTTCCGATGATTGCGACCCACAGGTTGAGAAGCCAGCTGCTTCTTTGCACATGTTTCTTTACTGTAACATTGAGTCCTTTGTGAAAGGCCATTGGACTACCCTGGAGAGATCTTACTGTCCTGACCAAATTCAACTGTCTATATAAAAGGCTAATATGCTAAGAGTCCATCCAACCAGTCCCTATGATGCGCACTGACCACCAGGGGCAGATGCTCAACGCAGGAGCTGCCATGATGTGCCCTGGCCATTTACAGAGAAACAGCACCGTGGACCTGGTGCCCACAAAGCAACACTCGGCTTCCTCCAAGTGGGACACAGGCCCCACCACCACCCCGGAGCGACACCCCATCAAATCGCAGCCAGCGCTGCTGAGACCCCATGGTGCAAAATGCAGCCTACAGCCCAGCTCAGCCCAGAAATGGTGGCTGTGGGCACTGGGTAATGACGTCATCTAGCAACGCCCGGCTTCCTCTCCCTAGCGACGGGCCATTTAACAATAAACGGCTCTACAGACCTGGCACCCACAAAGCAACACTCAGTTTCCCCCAAGTGGGACACAGGCACTGCCACCATCCTGGAGCAACACCCCACCAAATCACAGCCAACGCTGCCCCATAGTGCAAAATGCAGCCTACAGCCCAGCTCAGCCCTGAACCAGTTGCTGTGGGCACTGGGTAATGACATCACATATCAATGCCCGGCTTCCTATCCCTAGCGACTAGCCTCCTTGGAGTTTCTTCAGCCCAGGAACATGACTTCCTTTTAGCCAGGTGGAAACATTTTACACTTTAACCAAGTGTCTGTGAAGCATTTTCCTGTGCCTCATCTCATTTGATCCTCACAAAAGTCCTGGAATAGGTAGATAGGAGACTTGGTGGAATCCTATTTTCTTTTCATTAGCTGGAAAATGGAGATTTAGAAAGCTTAGAAACTTGACCTGACTGAAAAGAAGAAGTGGTGGACCTTGAAAATAACTTCAGGTTTTCTTACTGCACAGAATATAGTCAAACACTGCTGCAGTTAAATATTTTACCCTATGTTCTTCCTTTGTGATCTACAATAATAATCTGCTTCATGTTGATATTTACTGCTGTGTTGCTGACAGATACCTGGACGAGAAGTTGGAGTGCTTCACTGGGCTGGAAAAGTTTAGCTAAATCAGAAAACAGGTCTAATTAAGCAAGTTTATCCTATATATCTAAAAGGCTATGTTGACTTGCACATGTGCGATACATATAATGCTCTAGCTGGTGCCAATTGCACACATATGTTTTGATCTGTCATTGTTGATCATGAATTTGGTTGACACTTCTATTATAGAGAAAGGGCGAATAGCAATATTAAAATATTTCTTCTAATTAATTTCCTTTCAATGTACACAAGTTCGTGCACAGGGCCACTAGTAAAATTATAAATGGAGAAGAGCTAAAGTACACACCATTGGCTATTCTTCAAGCCAACAGCATATATTGCAACCTAATAACAATAACTATTTATTGAATGTTCCTTGCATGTCAGATATTATAGTAATACATTTTTTTTTTTCTGGTTTGAACAACAGCCTTATAAGGTCATTATTTTTTTCCCCAGTTTACAGATGAGTAAAGCAAGACTCATGGAAATTGAGTAACTTGTATCACAGCCACAGAGCTAAGTAAGTGGCAGAACTGGGACTCAAATCCAGTCTGGATCCGAACCTCACACTCTTTTTCATTACTGAATGGGGCTTTTCAATCACGCTCTTTGCTGTCATATTTGAAGAACAAAAAGATACCTTTGCTTGATGACCCTAATGATGTTTGTGCCTTGGGAGCAAATCTTCAGCCAGGCAAACCAAACTTGAACCTTTGCAGTCTGAGGAGATGTTCCAGACTATAACTGACCGGAGTGAAGCCCACCACAAGAAGTGGCACCGTGAATAAGCCCAGCTCATATCCAACCAGGGGAGCAGGTCTGGGATGGGGCCTGTGTTGGGGATGGGGGGTTAGAAATGGAGAAGCAAACACATTGAGAAAGCATCACACTCTGACTATCCTCTTTGGCCAAAAGCCTGCCTGATGTGGATGATCACATTATGCAATACAAAACCATCAAAGTTTAATTTGGGGTGCAGCCATTTTTGTCCCATTTCCTCACTGGGGCACAGAGTGAGACTGAGGAGACTTGCATGTGCTCTTGCCTCCACCACCGTCCAATCTGAAGAAACAGGTGAGTTATTTAACTTCTTTGAGTTCAATTTTCTTAAGTTCTGCTGATCAGTAAGCTCCCCTTTAGATCTGAAATTATTTGATGTTATAGTCATGTACCTTTTGACATGGGAAGGTGTTCATGTGTATTTCTCGGTGTTCTTGGTTGCAGATAACTCAATTTCTGAGGGGAGCAGGGCAGTCAACAATGCTATAGAGCCAGGATCAATATGTCTGACCCCAGAATGGCATAGTTTTACAGGCGACCCCACTGCTGCCCAGGCCTGCCTCTCAACATCTGTTATGCTAGAGCCAAAGAGAGGACTTTCTACTTCAGCTACCAGAAGAGCTGCTGTCCCTGACCATGGCTATCACCTCATGTTACTCATATGCCTTTTAAATCAGAGAATGTATCTTCCACCAGGGCTTGGTGGAAATGTAGTTACATGTAGAACCCAAGCTGCAAGGGAGTCTGGGAATGTTTAACTTTCTAGCCTCTGAGGGGCAGAAACCTGTCAGAAGAATGAGCAGGTGTTAAGGGAGTGCCTGTGCAGTGGCTGCCACATTGTGTTACATTGCTGAGTGCAAATGTGGGGGGTGGGGGGTGGCAATGTATTCACACCATGAGCCCTTTTATATATGTATGTAAAGTACTATACAAAAAAGTCAGAAAGGGTATACACTAAAATGCTAGTAGTTTGTTTTGATCAGAAGTATAATTATATTCTTTTTATTTCTCTGTATTTCTACCATCAATGAGTATTACCTATATAATTTCTTAAAAGAATGAGGCTTGTTGTTTATGTTTCTAGGATTGTACATGACATCCAGATGTGTGTCTTGTAGATATCTGTCTTCAAGATACAGACTACAGAATTAGACCTTGGAAATAACTTTGAAGGGCATGTAAATCATTATTCCAGTTCAGACTGTGTTACAAATGTCTAGATATTTGAATTAATTTCTTACTGAAGACTCATAGGCAATATAATAATGACAGGGAAGACAAGTGGGGTCTGAAGAAACATTATTATCTGAAGGAATTGTTTTTTTCCTCTTCATCGTCCATTGTCTATTTTAAAATGATAATTTTTCTTATGATGTGATATCTGTGATATTATGTAGTTTTTGTTAACAAGAAAAGATAAATTTGAATTACAAGTCATTTACATTAAGATCATATAACTGTATAGACAACAGCAGAACAGAATGAAAGTTAAACTTGGAAAAAGAGGTGAGGGCTAGACCAGATGGGTCTTTGAATGCTATGTTAAGAAATATGGACTCAATTCAAACTTGTCCCCTCTAATTCCCTCATTGGGTGCTGAATTTTTTTCAAGTATAAAGTGTTAAAATATATTCAATCTGTTGCTTAAACTTGAAGACTCATTTTGAACTTGGCACAGCTTATGATATTTCTAAATCAATAATTATGATTCATAAAAACATTGCTTAAATAATTTGATTTATTTCATGCCCCAGAGAATGCTGTGAACTGATTATGTGTTATATTTCTATAGCACACACACGTTTGTTATAAAAACTCTCAGTTTGATTAATATAGTTAATCTAGGTTTGTAAAGGCACCTGCTACATGCAAGGCACTTTGTTAGGCATTGGGGGATGCAGCATTTAAAGAGATTTCTGTTCTCAAAGACTTTATAGTTTAGTTTCAAGAGCCAAAATCCTACAATAAAGAGCATAATGTGGGAACACAGAAGCCCAGATGGGGAGCAGATCCTGATACAAGGATATAAGGAACAGGGAATTTTCTTTAGAAGGTGTGGTAAGGAAGGTGAGTGGGAAAGTAAAGCAGATAAGAGAAGGTTACCAACAGAAGATGCATTGTCAAGCCAGGCATCACTGTGGGCAAAGGGAGCTAACATGGGAAAACAGGAAAATGATATGGCTTCAGCATGGGAAAACAGGGAAATGATATGGATACAACCTCAGACTTTCTCCATCCAAGGAGTAAAGGAGTTGAGATGCTTATTCACTAACTAGAGGCCCAGTGCATGAAATTTGTACAGTCAGGGTTGGCGGGGATGCCCTCAGTCTAGATTGTGAGAGGATGCAGGCCAGGCTGAGAGACCCCACCAGTGCACCATCAGAGCTGGGGAGGGATGTGGGAGTTGGCTAGCCAGGGAGGGACCACGGGAGGGCTCGAGGGTATATCCAGCCTGTCTCGCTCAGTCCTGATTGGCCGGACCCCAGCAACAAGCTAACCTACCGGTTGGAGCGTCTGCCCCCTGGTGATCAGTGCACGTCATAGTGAGTTGTTGAGCGGCCTTAGCATATCATTAGCATATTACGCTTTGATTGGTTCAACGAATGACTGGATGACCAGAGACTTAGCATATTAGGCTTTTATTATATACTAGAGGCCTGGTGCACGAAATCCATGTGTGGGTCCAGTCCCTAGGCATGGCCTGTGATCAAGGCCATCTTCCCCAGCTGCCTGCAGCCAGTCCTGCCCCCACTGCCACCCACCCTCTGTTTCCCATTCGCCATCGGGTGATCAGTGGAGAAAGGGACCAAGAGGTCCACTGTTCCCACCTGCTCACTGGCCCCGCCCCCGCTATGGATGGCCATCAGGTGATCGGAGCCTGCCAGCAAGGAAAGGAACCAAGAGGTGGTCAGTGCACCTCATAGTGAATGGTCCAGCAGTTGTTCTGCTGTTAGGGTCAATTTGCATATTACCCTTTTATTATATAGGACTAGAGGCCCAGTGCACAAAACTTTATGCACTGGGGGGGGAGGGGTCCCTCAGCCCGGCCTATGCCCTCTTGCAGTCTGGGATCCCTCGGAGGATGTCCACCTGCTGGCTTAGGACCACTCCCTGGGGGATCAGGCCCAAGCTGGCAGTCAGACATCCCTCTGGCAGCCTGGCAGCCCTCAGGGGATGTCCACTTACCAGCAGGGAGCAGACCTAAGCTGCAGTCGGACATCCTTAGTGCTACTGAGGAGGCAGGAGAGGCTCCTGCCACCACCGCTGTGCTGGCAGCTGGCAGCCTGGCTTGTGGCTGAGCAGAGCTCCCTCTGTGGGAGCATACTGACCACCAGGGGACAGCCTGATGGCTGTTTTCAGGTTGGCCACACCCCCTTTATGGTCAGGGGTCCCCACTGTGGTGCCTGGCCAGTCTGGGTGAGGGGCTGAGGGCCGTTTTCAGGCTGGCCTAGCCCCTGGGTGATGGAAGCTCACAGCCTCTCCTCTTTTCCTTTTATTCTGGGATTTATTTACTTTCTATAATTGAAACTTTGTAGCCTTGAGTGGAGCTCAGAGCCGGCCAGGGTGGGCAGGCGGGAAGCTTGACTTCCTCAATCACTGGGGCAACCAAGCCTCCTGCTTGCTCCAGCTCCGTGGCTGCCGGCCGCCATCTTGGCTGGGTTAATTTGCATATAGTCACTCTGATTGACTGGTAGGCATAGCTTGGGGCCTAGCAAAGGTACGGCCAATTTGCATGTTTGTCTTTTATTAGTGTAGATAATATAATAATAATAACATTTATATAATAAAATTTATTATTATATAGGATTTGGTGCACGGGTGGGGGCCGACTGGCCTGCCTTGAAGGGGGTCCCAGATCAGGGTTGGGGGTCCCCTCTGGGGGGCAGGGCCGGCTGTGGCAAGGGGCCACAAGGTTGGCAGGCTGGCCACGCCCCCAGCTTTGTCAGGAAGGATGTCCAGAATGATGTCCAGTCTATCTGGTCTAATTAGCATATTACCCTTTTATTAGTATAGAGAATGTTATGAATTGAATGTTGTGTTCTCCTCAAATTAGTATGCTGAAATGTTAACCCCCAATGTGAGGTATGGGAGATAGGGCCTTTGAGAGGTGTTTAAGTTTAGATGAGGTCATTAGGGTGGGGTCCTCACGAAAGGATTAGTACCCTTATAAGAAGAGACACCAAGGAGCTTGCTCTCTTCCTCGTGTACAGGAGACACAGCAAGAGGACTATAGCACTGTCTGCAAACCAGGAAGAGAGCCTCACCAGGAACCGAAAGATTTGGGACTTCCTAGCCTCCAAAACTCTGTGAAATAGATTTATGAGGTTTAAGCCATCTACTCTATGACATTTTATTATGGCAGCCTGAGCATAACCCAACCAGCTTTCATCCATCCTGGAGTAGAGACTTCCCTGGGGGCCGACTTTTCCAGCACCCTGGCCTGTCCAGAATGTGGGCAGAGCAGCCTTCTCCAGGTTTGGAGGAGGTTCTGAACCAACCTCATGCCACTCCTCGCAGTTGGAAGTCCATCTGTAGACACTGAAGATACACCTAGAGCCACGTGGGTGAGAATTATCAGCACTTCCTGGTGAGGATGGAGGGGTGTGAAGGTCTTGATATTTCACAGAGGATGTGGTGCCTCAACTGGGCCTTAAAGAGGTAAGAAGTTAACAAATACAGGCAGGGAAAAACCATTCCAAACACAGGGACTGGTTGGAGCACAGACCTAGAGAAAGCAAAGTTCAGGATACTTTAGATAACTAACACTTTTTTTCCCTCTTGACATCATGTAATTCTTGTTTTGGGCTGGGTGGGGGTGGGTGGGTACCACATTGCTTTATTTGAAAGAATGATACAACAGAAGGAATTTAAGTAGATGTTTGGGTACAATTTATAGAAAAGCTAAAGGTAACCCCGACATGCATACACTGCCTTAATAACCAGGGAAGTCACCCCCTTGGCTCTGGGAAGCCGGCCCAGGCTTAGCTTTCGTTATCCTGTCTCCTAGGGTGTGCTTGTCAAAGGGACACTCTGCCATCCAGGTTCAAGGACCCACGTCTTGTGCAAGTTGATTGCATGGTCACCTGATTGCTTGGTGGATTTCACCTGTTCATTCAGGTAATGAGTCTTAATGAAGTCACACAAATAGAGCTCATTTTTGTCAGTAGCCAGTTTGTGCAGTTAATAACTTAATAACATGTTAATTGTTACTTTTATTTGCTGCCTAGTGTGTCCGCGTGTCTAAGTTTTTTGTTAATTGCTGTTACTCCTCACCTGAGGATATTTTCCTGTTGATTTTTAGAGCGAGTAGAAGGTGGGGGTGGGGGCGGGGGAGAGAGAAACATCGATGTGAGAGAGGCACATTGGTTGGTTGCCTCCACACTCACTCTGACTGGGGCAGGGGTCAAGCCTGCAACCAAAGCCCAAGACCCTTCAGTCCGAGGGCCGGTGCTCTATCCAATGAGCCAAACCGGCTAGGGCCATTGTGTCAACCTTTGGTAGCCATTCCCCTATTTTTAAACAGACCAGTCAGGCTGCAGTAGTTCTCAAGGCCTCCACGCATGGGAGAACAGGAGGGAGATGAGGCGACTGCTGTGAGCTCCCTGCAGGCAGGTCACTGGCTTCCTTACATTTAAAACGCCGGTAACTGTCATACCGCCTGGCACTTAGTAGATGCTGGTGGAATTGGTTAAATCATAGAAGAAATTTTCTAAGGAGACTGTGAAAGGAGTACTAGGACTTGAGTTTACATTCTTGAAAAGAATCACATTTTTCCCTTTACAACTTTTTGCACATCCTGGGACATGAAATTTACTTTCCAGATAGTTTATTCTGTGAGGCAGCGGTTCTCAACCTGTGGGTCGCGACCCCTTTGGCGGTCAAACGACCCTTTC